CCGGTATTCGGCTGCTCATAATGCAAAAACAAAAGTTGAGCTTTTAGCCGACTTTTGGTCGAAACATTTGCGTGTCCACCATGTTAAGGTAAAATTGTAAATACTTATATTAACATCCTCTTGCACATTGTTTTTTTTTAAGCATGGCCTGAGTCGTAATTATTGCGTAAAATTTGTAAAGTCGGCTAAAAGCTCAACTTTTGTTTTAGAAATTATACTTGGTTTTCTTTTGTGTATTATTTTTTAATATAAAAGTAAACAGTACATACTTTCCGAGTACAGGGTATGCTTGATGTGGTTGGTTATTAATGTGTACGAAATTTATCAGAATCTATCTATCTGCATTTCACGCGGCCTTTCCTGTTTTTGTACCAATTCAACAACAACAAATAATTAGTGTAAAAATACATCGAAACTCAGAAAATCTCAAGATCGTGAAGGACGTTCTCACTACTCACAAAATTTCATATCAGAGGGATGAAGGAGCACGAGGGTGAGTACATCCTTTACGATCTCAAGATTTTCGAGTTTCAATGTATTTTTTTATTTGATTATTTTTTTTTTCTTAAATTGGTAGAAAATAAGAGAAAAGGCCGCGTGAAATACAGATCGACTGATTCTGAGCAATTCCGTACACATTAACGCAAGTTCGTTCGAATGTTACATTGTCCACGGACAATGATACATTTACTGATGTAAATTTAAGGGGGTTCATTACAGAGGGCGCGTTGAGAAGTTCGAATGTGAACTGCGTATTATTAGACGTGATTAAAAAGTAAGACTACGGCTGCTTCATTCGAAAGAATCCCTGACGGTCAATTCGTCGCCCTCCTGACATGAGGGCGCAACTACCCTCTGCAGTGAACCCTGCCGTCCATGCAACTCAATGCTTTTCCGGGCTCATCTCGATATAGTTACGCCATTATGTCAGCCAAGCGACGAATTGCATGAAAAACGGGTGGAGTGCCCGCGCATTCCGGCAACCCTGGGAGCAGGGATGCACAGACCCCCCCCCCTCCCTGCACACTAGACGTACAACTCCTCACGTATGAACGTTGCATAACGCTATAGTGCAGGTGCACGTGTCGCCGTACGTACGTCTACCGCGTTACCGCACGCTATTTTCCTATCGATCGATGCCACATCTGTAGAAATATACTGAATACTCCGAAAATCCTGCTGGCTTTTCGGTACGGTCAGGTGCGACGTGGCAACCTCGCTTCTTAGCGGGCCGTCGCGGAGAAAAAGGCACGCAGAATACGTTACATCTTCACGGTAGAGGATGGACGGATTGACGTAAGGTTATCGCAACGTTGCGGGGGAAAATAACGAGGAAGTTTTTATTTTGTTTCCAACAGGATTTTTAGATCCAGCACGTTATGACGTCAAGATGACGAATGCACATACCATCTGCATTTTGCTAACGGTAACGTCTAAAGTCGGTACGTGCAGGAGAGGAATCCAGGAATAAGGCGACCAAAGATTACAAAAGACGTCGCAAACCATATAATCTTCATGCCCGTTTGTGGCATCCAGCGGGCCGATTATTGAAACTGATGGACAAAGAGGACGTAAGAGATATGAAGGGATCCTATTGGTGGATGCTTGCAATGGACAAAGGAAGTCGGTAATAGACTATCTAACGGCATCCCGCGAGAGGCCTTATAGTTAGTCCATCATTTTCTCCCTAAGTCCGTAGGAACCACTCATTTCCACCAATAGGATCGCTCCATACTCCCTACGTCTTGTTAGTCTACCGTTTTGTCTATTAATATCAAAAATCAGCCCGCGGAACCCAAGACGGCGAAACCCTGGCTATATGAAAGGATTCTAAGGTTCATGGGGTCGTTGCCGTTGAATTTTCGAAAAAAGGGTAGGCGAAAGCCCGGTGGGCTAGAGTCCCTTTATACTGAGAGTCAAGACAATGTGAATCCATTTCTGATTGGCTCCCGTATTTTAGGCCTTCACAGTGTCACAAACGGGAATAAAGATTACATTTTCACCGATTGCAAAGATTATAATCTGGAATGGACCGGGGAATTACAGGTTCGGCAAGGAACAAACGGAATGAGAGAAGGAACGGAGAAAGGAATTTGAGAATGAGCCGATCAAAGATTACAAAAAACGTTCAATTTCTGTAATCTTCCCGTTTGTGACTCCATGAGGGGGTGTTGTCTTGACTCTCAGTATAAAGGGACTCTACGGTGGGCAACATCCGTGCTCCGACCTGTAGCTCAGAGCTGGATCCCTTCTACGGCGAGGTGTTCCTGGATCTGACCGAGAAACAATCTCTACTCGATTTCGTGCCGTACTTGTTCCGCGAGGAGGTCCGCTTGCCCCGATCCCGATGGCAAGTGCGTTGAACCGGCTCCGATGTAGTAGCGTGACGTGAATTGCGATACATCGATCGTTATGCCATTTAAAACTATGGTAAAGAATCGATTACTAAGGTGCTCGCTGCGAACACCCTGTTTATCGATCCTTTTCCATAGGTTTAAATGCTATAACAATCGATTTATCGCAAAGCACGCCACGCCACTGCTCCGATGAGCATTTCAACTGGGACCATTTTACGATACTACCATGCGACGCGCAGCTCCACTGACACCGATTCACTTCCCGCTAGGTGGTCAGCCACGAGCCACTTCCCGCTTGACCCTCAATCCCCGGGGGGTTCCAACAGGAACTATCCCGTCCTCGGGTACCTTCATAGGGAACGGTGACTCACAAGATTACTCTTTCGTTTCCTTTAAAGGCAAACATCTCTTTCCCGAACCGAGATAGTGGCTACTAAAACAGGCTAACCGAAAATCAGTACTTTCATCACCGAAAAAAAATTCGGTCATGTGAACCGAACGTTCGGTGTTCCATATCATCCCGACGATTCGGTTTGTCAAACTAAACTTTCGGTTTGTCACACTGAACTTTTGGTTCGTGTGACCGAACTTTCGGCATAAATGACTTAATGACTAAACTTTGATTGTCAGTCCACTTCATCGCACAAGTTCGGTAACACACACCGAATTAGTTGGGATAATATGGAACACCGAACTTCAGTGCATACGACCGAACTTTTTTTTCCAGTGACAGTACTTTCGCAGTGCATTCCCAAGAAATGCAGCATCTCCTGCTCGACAGGAAAATTCAGTACTTTTTCGGAGCACCCATCGGACAAAATTCGGAAATTTGAAATTCTCGCTCGCATTGCGACAAAAATCCCTGGTAAAAATTGGCAGTAGAATCTGTGTTCCAAAATACCATAGACCTAAAGCCGGCTGTAAGATTTCCAATAGCTTCTGTGGCTGGCTGTACAATTTCTTATAGCCTTGTATGGCCGATGGCGATTAAGCAACAGCCAGACGATAAGTTTATGCTAAACGTAACTAAATACTGATACTAGGACTTAGTTAGTTTTTGGACTACCGCTCTCTTTTTGTGCCGTAGTATCTTGATTTATTTTGCGAGGAAAGCTCCGTACTTTTGAAGGATGCCTGTCATTCTTAATATGTTGGAGCGCATTCAATTTCTTATGATACTGTGTAATACCTCTGGTGTGAAATAGTTGCTTCAGACGCCGTGGCACGCTGCGGCGGCGCGGCGGGCGGGCAGAGAGCGCGAAACGCGCATTGGCGCCTACAAACCTAACAGGGATACTTCACGCATTGCGCCATGCGTGAAGTATCCCTGTTAGGTTTGTAGGCACCAAAGCGTCGCCGCTCCGCTTTGTGTTAGGCTCTAATATTTAATCTCGCGGAGTCAGCGTTTTTCAACTCATGATTTTGAAATGTTTGCACACTCTGTATGGACTAATCTCATTTTAATTTATGAAAAACAAAATATGTTTTAAAGGAGAATAGAATGGGTGTTTTGTAAATATTATGGTAGTTTCGTATCAAACTTAATGATTTCCAAAGCACACGAATTTCTACACGATTTCTTATAACCTTTCATAGCCAATGGCGATAAAGTGTAAAGGCCGGCGATAGGAACTACAGCCCGACTGTATACTTTTTTATAGCTTCGTATAGCCCGGCTATATGATTTGCTCCACTTTTTACAGCCAGCGATATGATTTTTAATAGCCTTCTTTTGTCGGCTATAAGAACTCCTATAGTATTTTGAAACGCAACTCCTATCGCCAATTTTTACCAGAGATGACATAGACAAATAATTTCATTGGTGGCTTGAAAATTAGCTGATTACACAATCGAGATCTTTCAGGCTACTACTACTTAATAGAATCAACGCGCAGGGGATTGCATACTTCCCAGGTTCTATTAAAAAACACGTGTGGTATGAGGGGGGAAAATGCCGAACCTTCTTGCGGAAATTCCGGAAAAGCTGAGTAATATTTCCAGAGTTTACGGGAATAGCGGACTAGTAAACACTCCGGGCAGCATCTCGAATTAGCTAGCCCGTGTGTAGTTGTGCACTCACTGTACATAAAGTCCCCACGGGGGACAGAACATAGGCTGACCCTATGGCAGGCACATGTAATTAACAACATGATTAAACAAAAAGGTGCCACTACAATTGTTGACCTCAGATGAGAGACATTCTGGTAAAAATTAAAAAAAAACTGTACAGTAGACACTAATCAAAATATATTCATAACTACTTCTACTTGAGCTAGGTGCAAAAACAATTTACTTTCAAAAATATAGGGCCGCAAAAAATGAGCGGGAGGGAAGAGTCTTGTGAAATGAGACCAAAGAGAGCCCAGATTGGGGTAGCTTTCGTACTGTTCCGTAAAACGAGAGATCGGGATCAGGGAGGTGAGCTACAGAGTGAAAGATTATGAAAAGTAGATGACAGAATTTCAAATGAAACGCACACACCAAGAGAAAAAAAACGGACTATGTATAAATAAAAAAAGGGATGGGTGGAAAAAAATACGGCTACGAATGGTTGATAAAAAAGGAGGCCAAAAAAAGGATCAACAAAAACCGGGAGGAAACAAAAAACAAAACCAAAAGAAAATTTGCTTTAAATGCCCTCACCTGCCACTGGTTTTAGCGTAATGAACAATTTTAGAGACAGGTGGAGGTGCATGTACCAAGCGACTGGATTTGGTCAATAGAGCCTTTGCCAACCCTGTGAAGCTACCAAAAACAGCAATCATTAGCTCTTTCAGCGCCTTTTCAAATTGAACCAAATCAGCAAAAAGTAAAATTAAAACATACATCTAAAATCATGAAGGTGCGGATGGACGGAAACAGGAAGCCCATAAACGTGACGCTCGTAAGACTGCATACCAACATTTTGAGAGGGAGAAAACGAGATGACTCCAACTTAAAGTAGGTAATTGAATAAGTCAGCAATTGAAAAAACGAATGTCAGAGCAAAGGGTGGAGAACTTAGCATAAACTAAGCTTAGAGTTACGTGTTTTGGGATAAATCCTCCAGGAGTTAAATCTATCTAGCTGTATATCTATCTAAGAAGCTTTCTTTGGTACCTGCCTCCGAGCTTTGTAAAAAATAACCTCCTGGCGCTCTCCAAATTTTTATCTGACTCGGACGAATTTTTCTTGGGACATCTTCATTTCCTCTCTCTCTTCCTCCTTCCTCTTTCTTATGTCTCTCTTTTGAATTTTTCTGCCGATTTTTTTTCACGTTATTCCAACACATCCTTGCAGTTCATAGCGTCCGCATTTGAACGTGATCGCAAAGATGGAACAAGATTTCATTTCATATTCCTGAATGAGTTTCAGTTTATCACATGCTCCGTCCACAAATTTTAGGAAACTCCCAATAGTTAGGTTATACTGAAGTCTTCCTCCCACACTCATTTCATTATCAGACGCTTCAATTCTCTTATCTCATGGACCGTGGTGAGGGGTTAGGAAGAGGAACATGGTATACTGTCCTATTAGCATAAATTCGCTAATGAGTCTCACGAAATAAAAATAAAAAAATGATAAAGAAAAGACAAAACCATTCCAAATGTAAGCCAAAATTAAAGGCAAAGACATGAAATGAAAATCTTGGGGGAAGAATGATTTGCACGGCATAAAAAATTTCAAAAAAAAATTAAAGCGAAGCTGATACGACTGATCGGAAACTGTAAAGACTGACAATGAGAGGGTTCGTTTTTTCCTCCCTTCAGTGAAATGAGAGGAGAGAGAAGAAAAATGATAAATGAATGAGATAAGGAATCCAACTTGTGGCATGTCAATACCGGACATTATTTTATCTTCCAAAAAAAGGTACGTTAAATGTGGATTTCGATCATTCGATGAAAACATTTCATGGGTTCACATTCAGTTCGTCACTCTTTAGTTTGAATCAAAAATAGGTGACAGAAGATTTCTTTCGGTGGTCGGGAATCGCCTAGCTTGGAGAAATCGAAGATATGAATGAAAAAATCCTGATTTACACGTGAAAAAATTAATGACTCGGTGAAGTATAAGTTGTGTTTTATACTTCATTGGACGGATGAATATCATTCCTTCAGAATATCTTAAATTGCACAGATTCTACGGGGAACGGAATCTATCGTTCCCTAAACTTGCGTTAAATCAACATTGAGAGCATGCCTTCCGTAGTATCCCACAGATTCAGTTCGGCTGTGTTTTTTCAAGTTTTAAAAAGTTTTGAAATCATTTAAAAAATGAACTAAAAAAATTGACAATTAAATAAGTAGAGAAAATATTCTGAAGCTTACAACTAATGCGAGGGTAGTGTCAAACTCCTGCATAAGCTGAAGTTTGGAACGAATAGATTTGGTAGACAGCGGTATGTGCATTTTTACCGCGGTTTACTAGAAGAAAGAGATCTTCCTACGTATAGTAACGAGCTCAAAGAAAATCGTGAGCTCTTATTCTTGAACAGATGAGAAGACACGGTTGATAAGAACTATAAAACGCAAACCGCTGATGATCATTTTAAGGTAACATACGCCGATACTAAAAATGATGTAATTCAAGCTAGAGATTAACACTACAGAGAGCATTTGGTTTGCCTTCCTTTCGTGATAGTAGCTGTTCACTATCAGGGCTACAGTAAGTGCGAAATGTTGACAATGTTGGAGTGAAGCGCTCAGTAGAGCAGATTGGAGAAAGGGCAAGGGCTTGATAAACAAAATAATTTACAGCAAAATTTCGGAAGCTGAGAATTAGAAACCAGCGACATAGCTGGAAAAAAAATTAAATGCGTCATTATTAGACGAATACTTCTTGGTCACCATTCCTCCACTGGACCATAGGTCAAATTTGTTTGACGAATTCATTAAGAAATGATTGGATTGTTGTTCCATCATCTGAACAGTCACTGACACACACAGCAGCCTCGTCCCTTTAATCCCCCCTCGCGATTAGCGAATTGACCCTCCTTCAAAACATTTTTCTGGGCCACCCTTTGAAAGAGTAAAACCCTTCTTCTTTTGGATAGCTAGTCCAAACTCGATGACTAAGATTGAACGTTTTAAAATTTCTGACGATAAGCTGAAATTATAGATCGGCAGTTTTTGGATTCACGCGACGCGAAAGAATTCAGAACGAGTGTTTAAACTCTCAGCTTCCAATAAATAGCCATTTTTAGTCCAACGAAGGGACGTTTACTTCAAGTTTTCATAAATCCTAAAAATTGGCGAATTTGAGCATATGACGATGGAGGATGTAGTAGTGCAGTAGTAGAATATTTATATTTTATAGAGGTGCGTTAGCAACATCAGTCATTCGCACCTCTGCGACTTAAATAACAGATTATAAACATAAAAGGATGAAGAATCCATAGCATGCGGAAGTACTGCATTTCTAATGTCAGCAAAACCAGGAACCATCATGGGGGCAAAGATGAGACAACCTATTGAGTGCTTCGTTTCATAAGTAACTGATGATATTAAATAATGAGTTGAAGAATCTCAATTTTTCCTCTTTTTTATTTTTTTATCCGGCTTATTCTGATTAATGCAAATAGGAACCTCTCAATATGATAAGATAGAGGTTACACCTTCGAAGAAACTTTCCGTTCAAAACAATCGAACTTCACTTCTTTAAAGCATATTAATTTTATGATAGTGCTTTTGTCCCTTGTTATGTACACGAAAAAACGTTATCGATGCTTTTATCGCATTCCTATCGACTTAAATTCAGAAACCTGTCGGTAATTGTTGTGCTTGGTATCATTCAAGCATCAACCATTGAGTTCTTTTTGATTTCAATCAAAAGATGGGACTGATTCTGATAATTACATGAATACCTATTTAAATTCGTGTCAAAAACTGGACGAACAACCATGGTAAAATTAAATAATCTTCAGTTATAAGCTGATGAATTTTCATTTTAAAAATTCCTGAGAAACGGAAAAATAGGTTCCCACCTGAAATGTCCAAGGCACTTAAGTCCAAAATTTGCAAGTCCACAAATGTCCAAAAAACTAAACTGCCCTATAAAAAAGTTCAAAAATGATGATCCAAAACCATGAAAAGTTCAAAAAAGTTAGGATAGGTTGATTCTTCTGATTTATTCTCTATCAAGTCGTATTCACAGTACACTTCATCATATTGGACGTTAAAGCTTTGGACCCAACACCCGTGAATCGAGAAATGCTATCGAATAGTTTAAAGTGAAATTGCGGAGTAAAAAGGAATGAAAAGCTAGAGAAATAGGGGAAAGAGAAGAAAGAAAGGATTTTTATCTCAAGTGACAACCTCTCATGGACGAGGATTATTTGTCAACTCGAAAATCATACGCTCCCAAACTTTGTGAAATTGCCCAGTGACAAATTGAGAATGAACGAGTCACTTACATAATAAAAGTTGCAGAAATCGACATAACTTGAATATACGCACCTGCAACAAAAAGAAAACAGAAAAATGATGTTAGCAAGATTCAACCGGTGAAATTGTCTCATCATAGGATAATGAATAAACTGATTAACATGGATTGAGTGCCCAATTTATCGAAAGTCTAAAATCCAAGTTTACTGCTTCCTCTTCAGTGGCGAGGCGTGAAAGATCGATTATCGATATTTCCCCCATTTGAAGCAACGGTAAAAAATCGAGTATTCGGACGTTCGCCGCGATCACCCTGTTTATCGATCCTTTTCCATAGATTTAAATGGCAGATCAGTCGATGCATCGCAAAGCACGCCACGCCACTGCTTGCCCTGGTAAAAATTGGCAGTAGAATCTGTGTTCCAAAATACCATTGACCTACAGCCGGCTGTAAGATTTCCAATAGCTTTTACAGCCGGCTATACAATTTCTAATAGCCTTTTATAGCCGATGGCGACTAAGCAACAGGCAGGCGAAAAAGTGTATGCTAAACGTTACTAATTACGGATGCTAGGACTTAGTGAGTTTTTGGAATACTGCTCTCTTTTTGGGCCGTAGTATCTTGATTTATTTTGCGAGGAAAGCTCCGTACTTTTGAAGGGTGCCTGTCATTCTTAATATTTTGGAGCGCCTTCAATTTCTGATGATACTGTGCAATACCTCTGGTGTGAAATAGTTGCTTCAAGCGCCGTGGCAGGCGGGCAGCCAACGCAAGACACGCATTGGCGCCTACAAACCTAACAGGGATACTTCACGCATTGCGCAATGCGTGAAGTATCCCTGTTAGGTTTGAAGGCGCCAGTGCGTCGCCGCTCCGCTTTGTGTTAGGCTCTAATATTTAAACTGGCGGAGTCAGCGTTATTCAACTCATGATTTTGAAATGTTTGCACATCCTGAATGGATTATTCTTATTTTAATTGATGAAAAAAAAATATGTATTAAAGGAAAATATAATGTATGTTTTGTAAATATTAAGGTGGTTCCGTATCAAACTTAATGATTTCCAAAGCACACGAATTTCTACACAATTTCTTATAATCTTTTCTTTTCTTCTTTCGTTTCTTATAATCGTTTCAATTTCTTATATTTCTGCCTTCTTTAGCCGGCTATAAGAATTCCTATAGTATTTTGAAACGCAGCTCTTATCGCCAATTTTTACCAGGGATGTACATCACTGTTCAATGGAGATTTTGCAGGCGTCTGAAATTTTATAAATTTCATTGTTCAAAATGAAACTACTAAAAGGTCTAAGCACGAGGATTTGAACAATCATTCGAGGAAATATGATAAAATAACCTAATCTGCTAAAATACTTGTGTTTAAGTG